CGGCGACCGCTCCGCAACCTAGCTGGGCCACCGAGCTGCGCCGCAGGACGCGGCCACCGCAGCGTCCACCCGAATCGCTCTAACAGCCGAGACCCGCCCACAGCTGGCGCCCAACCGCCCGCCTCCCGCGGAGCCAGCAGGGACCGGAAGCGGAAGTGGCCGGGGAGGCCTCTGGGAAATGCAGTCTGGGCTCGGCCGGAGCTTCGCTGTGCCGGTCGTGAGCCTCGTTGGTTTCATTTGGGAAACTTTATATGTTAGCCATGCCTGGGGCTCAGCCCCAGAGATTCTGAATTAACTTGGTCCATGTAGTCCTCACAAAGAGTTGTGTTGTTTCGATTTTGCCAGCGGGCTCCTGCCACCCGCCGTGGGGTGGCTGCAATCAATTCCATCTCCGTCTCTCCATCCTGTCTGGATTTGGGGCATACGCAGGGCCTTGTGTCTGTTTCTCAAGTCGTTAGACCCAGGACTGGAATTTCTCTGTGGGCATGTGGGATCTGACTGCCCCAGCTACTGTTAGTGAACAAATGTGATGATATTACACTTAGTCTTTTTTTTTTTTCCTTTAAAGGTTGTCACAGGATGCTCGTGCTTGCCTGTGTACCCACCAGAGAGAGACAGAGACAGACAGTGAGAGGGAAAGTGAAAAATCACTCCCCAGGGAGGATGGCCAGCTACAATCCCCTTTCCATTCTCCTCCTGGGATTTTGGGCACGCATGCACACACCCCAAGCATGATTTCCAAACTGCCAGGTGGCCATGTGGGAATCCAGTGCCTTACTCACTATACCACCTGCTCTGGCCCCTATACTTAGTCTACCAGATTACAGGACCAGCAGATGGCATACTGGTTAGGACGCTGGATTCCCACATGACCCACTGTGGTTTGAAAACTCCTGGGAGCATGTGCGTGCCTGCCCAGGATCCCAGGAGGAGAATGGAGAAGGGATTGCAGCATGGCTATCTTGGGGTAGGAGGTGATTTCTCAATTTCCTTCTCACTATCTCTGTCTGCTTCACTCTCTCCAGCACACACTTTAAGGCAAAAACCTCTACCCCAAAAGAGTCTATGTTAGCAGATTAAACTGCCGAGGCCTCTGCGGGGGTGGGTTGGCTCGACGGAGGCAGCGAAGGTGAACAGAAGACAAAGGCCTCAGGTGCCTTTTCATGCACGTCCTTTGCCGGACACCCCTCAAAGATCACTCTCTTAGGAGTGACAACTGCTAGGAATCATCGTGCCTTTTTATTGAAAATGTGATACATGCAAGTAAATGGGTGAGGGGCAGTAAAAGATTTACTCTAAGGAACAGGGTATACAAAGCATGGAAGCAATAATTATAAAACATGCTGTTTGTCTTGTTAGCTCAGGTAAAATCAATCACAGTTCT